GATGTTTATACTCACAAAAATCAGTGGATCCACAGACAGAAAATATCTAATCATTCAACAACTATTCTATTCAATAGTTTTCAATTCACCCAAGGCTATTTGGTTTGGCCATAACAAAAGCTAATTCCGATTTGGACCTCTGGAGCGGAGCTAAACTTGGGTACATTTTTAAAAGGTGGTAAGCTTTTTTACACTGAATAGCACTGCTGAAGATGCTCTCTAAAACACTCATTACCAACTCCAAAAAGGACTTTTGGCTCAAAGCTTAATGTAATGGTGCTGCAAAAGGAACTAAAACAATGTGTCAGAAGTGCAGAGCAGATGACTGATTGCTTCTGATTTGGAGCCACAAAGCTAAGGCATGAATAAATTGTCTAAATTACCTAACTCATATATATATATATATATATAAGTTAGATAATATATATAAATATATATGTTGAGGTTTTGATTGTGACTAAAATATTATACTACAGTCACACTATGCAGAGCACCGCGATGACTGATGAAACACTGCAACCAGCAAACACTGGCTGCTGCTGCTACAGGTAAACACAGGCATTGGATGCAAGGCTGTTATAGCTGTTTCTGTATACATATTGGCATGAGCTGTAACAAATGAAAATGTACTTATATGAGTCCTTAATGGAGCAAAAATACATTGCTGCATTGTCTGAAGCTTTAGAAAACATAAAAGGCAACTCTATATAGTTAATAATATACAATCATAATATCACGCATGAACAAGAGCCCATGGTCCACAACAGTAATTAATGGGTTGGCTCCCTTCAGTTTGAGGTCTAGTTTAGTTTCTGATCTGTGTCAAGGTTGATACAGTCCCTGCATTTGGAAGGTCCGAATCTCTTGGCTTCAGTTAATTAGTCAATTATTTGGTGTGTGGCGTAGTGGGTAGTGCGTTGGTGTTCGGATCAGGAGGTCACAGGTTCAAACCCCAGTGCAGTCAGCATGTCGTTGTGTCCCTGAGACACTTCACCCCTAATTGCTCCTGTGGTGATTGTCCACAGTACTGAGTATGTTAGTCGCTTTGGATAAAAGCATCTAACAAGTAACATGTAATGTAATGTAATCTTGATAATAAATGTATTTCTTTAGCAAAAAATACAAAATGTTCATTCTTGCACCAGATGTGAAGATGTACAGTTTTTTTTGTACATCTTATAAACAAATCTTTTTATCACATCATTAACTGACGTTGAAAGATTAACATCACCAGTACCGGTAGCTTGTCAAATAATCCTATCAGTAACTTGCATGAAGAGCTAATAAGAAACTCATTCCTGTTATATGGTTCATGTGCTTCCTGCAAACCAATGTCGATTCGGAGCAAAGAAAGATTGTAGGGGTGCGGCAGAGAAACTCCCTCTGGCGGGAACACATGGATTTTAGCCTTTGCAGGATTGTATTTTAGCCTTTGCAGACCAACGTGGTCGCCAACCAGTCGATCAAGTGGCACCTGCTAACGGGGTGGTGGATGATAGGTTTACATCTAAAAACATATTTTAAGAAAGACAAAAGACAAAGACAAATTCAATTAAAATAATAATGTTTGAAAAATACGTTTTTAGATGTAAACCTATCATCTACCACCCCGTTAGCAGGTGCCACTTGATTGACGTATATTTGAGACACCTCAATAATATAATACATTAACCGTGCTTTACGTGAACCTCATCATGACACAAGAGAGGACGGTAGGACTGCAATTTCCCGTGTTCAGTGAATGCAACAGAGGCAAGTCACCAGACCAATCAGAGAGTTGCATGGAAATACACGTGTGTCATTCAAGCTCGGCTCTGTGTGTGTGTGGCAATAGCGAATTTAGTGTGATAGAGAGAGAAAGAGAGAGAGAGAGAGATAGAGGGGGAGAGAGGGAGAGAGAGAGAGGAGAGAGAGAGAGAGAGAGAGAGGAGAGAGAGAGAGAGAGAGAGAGAGAGAGACAGACAGAGCAAGAGAGAGAGAGAGAGAGACCGGTGCTAGCGGGGACCGTGATGTTAGCATCTGGTTAGCTAGCTGCACTAACGGACATAAGGAGCTGTTTCCACAACAGGCTGGAGGAGAGTCCTCCCCTGTCAGACTGAGGGGCTCAGGTGAGCTAAAGGACTCTCTGAGTGTTTAGAACAGTTTTGTCACAAAGTATTCAAAAGATTATTTCCGCGGCACACCTTCATATGATCATTATAGTTATACAAACAATAAGAGAATAAATGAAAAACAGGTATGAAATACTATATGGCAGTAAAACAAGAATACAGTTTGAAAGGGGAGTGATTTGTAAAATATCCATAAAGAAAAAGAAAATCTGCTTACAGTTCTGTTTCATATGGGTGTTGAGAGAGGTATCCATAGATCTCTTCATGTTGCTCTCAAAGTGCACCAGATTGATGCTTTCAACTTCAATATTTAAAAAAACATCTTCCCGGAAGAGCATCCCCCCGGACCCCCCTAGAGGAGGTGAGGTCCCCCCTAGAGGAGGTGAGGACCCCCCTAGAGGAGGTGAGGACCCCCCTAGAGGAGGTGAGGACCCCCCCTAGAGGAGGTGAGGTCCCCCCCCCACTCATAAAAAATAGCACTTTACCCCTGCCTATATGCCGTGAGCTGATTATGGAGCCTTCATTGTAACAGTAATTCAGATGCAATTAGCCTATAAAAGGCTTCAAATTGGAAGCACTGTCTGGGCCGTCTTTTTCACTCAATAGGTAGATCTCGCCTTTCACCTAGGCCAAGGTCGGTGATCTTGGGCTTAAAAAGGTTGGTGACCACTGATTTACATGCACAAAAACACACCACATGAGAGGGAAAACCCCAAAAAGCATAATAAAGAAACTAGTCCTACTCCGAGACAAATCAGGCACACCCCTACATCGTCAGCACGGATGTATGCACATCTTTGCATGGTCAGAGTACGGTCTGTGCAGCAGTCTCGATCCTCTCAATTTCAGGTTGTCAGTACAAATGGCAGACATTATGCTGGCACCAAATGTAATTACACTATAAACAAGACATATATACACATGTACAATGAACATCCCAAGGAGCCTTAGGCATTTTTTTTACCTGACTTTTGTAACTGTATTTATCTTTCACTAGGCGCTTTCACACCGGAGTACTTTTCCCGTTTAGTTCCTGGGATTGCAAACCACGCACCGTAAAACTAAAGAAAAGTTTTGTGAAGCCACCATTGTATTAGCCCAGCGCACCAACGGAGAGAGACTAACTTATGGCAACACAAAATAAAACATGGGAGCGGTGGAGATGAGGAGGTGTCGGCGTTCTGGCGATTTACTCGGAAGGCTTCAGTAGAAGCTGCTGGGACTCCCAGCAACTTCTACTGAAGCCAGTCCCCAACTCCGGGGACTTCCGGCCGGGGACTTTGGGCGGCAGTATACGCCGTGAAGTGGTTTGCGGCCTGCCAGTAAACCCGAAGAAGAAAAAGAAAAAGAAAAAGAAAAAGAAGAAGAAGAAGAAGAAGAAGAAGGGACTTATTCCGGTGTGAACGCGATCTGTACTTAGTTCCGGGAACTAAAGAGTTCCGATGAACTAAGTAATGGGAACAAAGTACGGCAAAGTACTTGGTGTGAAAGCGCCTACTGTGTGTAACTTTAACTGGATTATAAATGAAATAAATTTTTTATACAGAGACGTTAAAAACCTATGGATTAACCGATTCAGCCGTGTTTTTTCTCGTTTTAATGCCATTGAACACGTCTTTTGATCAGATTGACAGCTACGGTGAGACGATCTCCCCTAGAAGCTCCGTAAAGGTACGTGTTGTGATGTCTGTGTTTGCTTCCCCTGTCCGAGTTCGGATCACTCAGTGATGATACTATATACCTAAATAATCTGTGGAACCTCAGCTTTAATCAGATATCTTGTATGTGCAGCTACGATAAGTAATAAGGGTACTTTTATCTTGAGTTCTGTGCCAAAGTGCGTTAGCATTTTTCACTCAGGGGTCATTTAGATGCTTCTTATGAGACTTGTGTTTTGTTTTGGTAAAAATTGTTTGTATCGTCAGTTAGCTGAGATTATTTCCGTTAATCTGGTATAACACATTAATAGGTTCTTAAATATTAAGATCCCCTGAGACACAGTGTCGTGAGAAAAAAAAAAAGTAAAGTACCCGCCGAGACTTTGGGGCTTAACAGGTTTAAAAAAAACGCAATATATACCGCAGGGGGGGGGGGGGGGGGAATCGCGATGTCAGTTTTTTTCAATATCGTGCAGCCCTACTAGATATAGCTCAATTAAGACTATATATTAACTGGCATTCTCTTAGGATCAGCACTAAGTTCCTGCTGTATGAAAATACTGCGATCCAAATAAACCTGCTTATTTGGATCTTAGAATAAGAAGTTCAAATATAGGCTAGTGGCACAAATGTAAAACTATTAAGAATGTGTTTACCTGAAGCCCTGTATAGGAATTAAGGCAACATACAGAATTGAATTGCAAACGTGAATGTCTTTAGTGGGTCAGAGGTTGTAGATTGAGCGATCAGCATCCTGGCAGCTTATGACAGAACACCAGCAGACTTGTGAGCTGGCTCAGCAGTTTAGGAAACAGAAAGGGTGGTTAACAGGCTCAAATACATAACTAACGTTAGCTCAATAATGATGAGTCAGCCGAATGGCTTTTGTCTCCAAAACACATTCCAAGCAGCTTATCGGTAGAGGACAGACACACTCTGCAGGCCGGGGTCGTATCGGCTGGATGTGAGCAGCCTGCGGAGCAACAACAGAGCCTCTTGCCTGTCTGCTAGCTAACGTTAGCTAACACTAGCTGGCTGCTGTTGGTTTGCGGTTGCTACCATCCAAGCAGTTCATCCCTTCCTGTTTATAAAGACAGGAGTATGATAGAAAATCTAGATATCGCCAATTGTACTCACATAGTTGTCAAAAGACAATACAGGTATACACGGACAGACATGAGACAGCCAGTTAGCCTGTGAGCTAGCAGTTGGCTGCAGAGCAGGTTCTCACCTCATACTGGATGTACTGCTTCCTCCACTCCGGGGTGATGTGAGCCGAGAGATGCTCCGTGAACTTCATGTTCACAATTTGCTCGGTAACTCTCCTCTGCTTGTATAGTAACCAGGACCGGTGAGTGAGTTAGCAGCGGGAGGTTTAGCAGAGCTGGTTCACCGACGGTAACACAGACACTGTCATTGAAGACTGCAGTCACAGCCTCAGTCTCAGTCTTACAGCAGTTTGTCCTCGCAGTATCCGAGCTATCTACCGGGGCACATCTCTGCCGTTTGTGACACAGTCGACGAAGGGCTGGTGGGGTCACATCTTAGCCAAAGCACACGCTTATATGTGCTCTTATCTATTGCGCAGCGCCAGTATCGCAGAATAGCGGCTCGTTTCTGGTAAACACGCTCCTGTATAGCGCGAGCTGGTTCTCTCTCTCTCTCTCTCTCTCTCTCTCTCTCTCTCTCTCTCTCTATCTCTCTCTCTCTCTCTCTCCCTCTCTCTACTCTCTCTCTCTCTCTCTCTCTCTCTCTCTCTCTCTCCTCCCGCTGCATTCAGGTGCAGTTGGAAATATTAAATCAACCCAAAGTGTGGCCCAATCCTGCTTCAGGAAACGTCATCCAGCCGTGGAGCTGTGGAAGGGGAGGAGGAACACACATTGATGTTCCATTCAGAGACAGTTATCATGCCATTTTAACTGCCATCACTGTTCCTGTGGTTCATCAGCAGTGTGTTCATGATTCATTTTACTCTGCTGGATTTTGTTTGTGCTTCGGAAGGCATGTTTAAACTTCACTAGTGTCCTGAAACTCCTATCCAGGTGGAATGCAATTTTGAATTTGAACAATTATGCTTTTTGCTCCAGAGAGCAACCCTTTTGCATTTATAAAATACTGCTTAGTGTTTATCTCTGTGAACATATTTAATTGTATCTCTTTAAAAGTAGTTAATTTCAACACTGCTCATAACTTGCTTAGAGAACAAACCTTGTCCTTCTATATATTCCGATGATACATGAAAGTTACGTGTGACGTCGCCAGCCACCCATGCCTTTGTGAGCAGATGACGTACTTCGTCGTGGAAGGGGGAAGTTCACACTATGGTTCAGGCAGAGCCGTTTATGAGAGTTGCGACAAATCCAAATTGCTTGATCGTCACGTGGTTCACGGAGACTCATATAGTTCCCGGAAGTTCGTTGCGGGAAAAATGGTTATTAAAAAAATAATCATAATTTGAAAAATTATTGATTCTAAAATAATATGATACAGTGTGTGGTGTTATTGTATATGTGTGTGTGTTAGCCAATAGGAGTGAAGCCTTACGGGCACGGTTGATTGACGTCATAGGCAGAGGACATGTTATGGTAACGGAGCATGTGAGCTAGGTGTGTTCTAGCATGTGGGCTACCAATAAAGAGACACGTAATTGTGACAGTTGAACTCACGTGTATTATTGAATAACACGACATGGTGTCAGAAGTCCTGTCGACAGTACGTGGAGTGTGACCGGGAAAAAGTATTGTTTGGAGCCATTTGACGGTGAAAAGGGAAGAAAGAGGACATGACAGACGAGAATGCTAACGGAGATGCAGCGCGACCCGCGGCGGGACAGAGTGCTACGTTTAGCACCCAGCCACCGGAGCCTTTCGACTTTTCAAGACCGCAGGAATGGGCCAAATGGATACGGCGGTTCGAGAGATTTCGCCTGGCAAGTAGTCTGAACAGTAGCTCAGAAGAGAATCAAGTCAACACATTGATATACTGCATGGGAGATGAAGCAGATGATATTTTACGTGGATTGACTCTCACAGCGGCTCAGAGAGACACTTACCAAGGTGTGCGGGATGGCTTTCAAGGCTTCTTCGTTGTCAAGAAAAATGTTATATATGAGCGGGCAAAGTTTAATATACGCAGACAGGGAGAAGGTGAACCAGTGGACTCGTTCGTCACAGCTCTATATGCACTAGCGGAGCATTGTAGCTACGGCGTGCTACATGATGAACTCATTCGAGGCAGGCTTGTTGTCGGATTGACGGATAAGCGGCTGTCTGAACGGATGCAACTGGACTCAGACCTTACCTTGGGAAAAGCTATTACCATGGCTCGGCAGAGTGAAGAGGTGAAACAGCAACAATCTTCTCTGCGAGGTGACGATAGAACTGAGGCATGTGACGCTAAATTAGTGGACAGAGTGTTTTAGAGCAGTGGCAAATATGCTAAAAACAAAGCTCAATCTGCTAATAGCTACCAAGCCAAGCCACAATACAACAAGGGTAATGATGCAAAGTGTTATAACTGTGGTTTTTCTCCTTCACATGTAAAGACTGAGTATCCAGCCAAGGATGTAAAATGCCATGCATGTGGGAAAATGGGACATTATATGCGCGTGTGTAAAGCAGCTAAAAGCGTGCATGAGATTAATGAAGAAGAGGAAAGCTTGTTCTTAGGCAGCATTGAGGCCGACAATGATCCGTGGATGGCAGACATTGACATTAACAACAAAAGCGTGCAGTTCAAAATTGACACTGGGGCTGATGTTACAGTCATTCCTCACTCCGTGTTTAAGGAGGTCTATAAGCACAAAGCTCCACCAGCTCTTCCAAAGCCAAGGAAGCCACTTTGGGGTCCAGGGAAAAATCCTTTAGACGTAGTGGGCTTTGCTAGTATGCTGCTGAAGAAAGGAGAGAGAGAACTTATGGAGGATGTGTATGTCATTCGACGCTTGCAAACAGCATTGCTCGGGAGGCCTGCCAGTGTAGCGCTGAAGCTAGTGGCACGACTAGACAACGTCACTATGGACACGCTAAAGACTAATTACCCAACAGTATGCAGCGGTCTTGGAGAGGTGCGGCAGCCATATGCCATTAAGCTGAAACCAGGGGCCCAACCGTTTTTTCTGAAGACGCCTAGAAGGATTCCACTGCCACTGATGGACAAAGTCAAAGAGGAATTGTCCCGCATGGAAGACCTGGGGGTGATCAGCAGAGTTGAGGAGCCTACAGATTGGTGCGCTGGCATGGTGGTGGCGCCTAAAAAGACAGGGGCTGTTCGCATATGTGTGGATCTAACTAAACTGAACGAGTCTGTGTGTCGAGAAAAATACATTCTACCTTCAGTGGAAGAAACACTGGGAAAGCTGGCTGGAGCCAAAATATTCAGCAAGTTGGATGCAAACATGGGGTTTTGGCAAATACCTCTAACAAAAGGCTCAGCCAAGTACACAACGTTCATCACACCCTTTGGCCAATACCACTTCAATCGGCTACCTTTCGGCATAGCCTCAGCCCCTGAGCATTTCCAAAACAGGATGACAACTGAGGTAACTGAGGGACTAGAGGGGGTCGTCTGTCACATGTACGATGTACTGGTGTGGGGCCAAACACAGGAGGAGCACGACGCTCGTCTGTATGCTGTGCTGGAGAAGATCCAAAAGGCAGGAATCACCTTGAATGTGGAAAAGTGTGACATATCCAAACAGGAGGTGACATACCTGGGCCATGTGATCACTGCTAGCGGCATTAGACCAGACCCGAGCAAGACAGAGGCGGTAAGGAAAATGGAAGAGCCGAAAAATGTGAGCGAGCTGTGGAGCTTTCTAGGCATGGTCAACCAGCTGGGGAAGTTCATACCGCAGCTAGCAGAGCGAGACAAGCCACTTCGAGACCTACTCTCCAAAAAGAACTGCTGGCTGTGGGGCATCGATCAGGCCAGAGCCTTCCAAGATCTGAAAGACTCTCTGATATCTCCACCAGTGCTAGCCATGTATGACACAAACAGAGAAACCAAGGTCTCAGCAGATGCATCATCATACGGCTTGGGGAGTGTGCTTCTGCAGAAATGGGAAGAGGATTGGAGGCCGGTACGTGATATGTCACGTTCTCTCACACAGACGGAGCAGAGATACGCACAGGTAGAAAAGGAAGCTTTAGGCTTAACCTGGGCTTGTGAAAGGTTTCGCAACTTTCTCATCGGTAGACACTTTGAGCTGGAAACAGATCATAAACCTCTACTGAGTCTCCTGGGGTCTCAGGCATTGGATGCGCTTCCCCCATGGATTCAACGTTTCCGGATGCGCCTGATGCGTTATTCCTACCCAATCACACAAGTGCCAGGGAAAAGCCTGTGGACGGCTGATACACTGTCACGTGCACCTGTGAAAAGAGACTCCACACCAGATGAAAAAGAGTTCCTCGAGAGCACGAATATCTATGTGGACATGATTATCGATGGTTTGCCAGCAAGCACGGCTTACCTGGAAGAGCTAAAAGAGCAGTTGGCAAAGGACAGTGTGTGCGGAAGAGTGATGCAGCTGTGTGAAGAGAAATGGCCAGCACACAGCAACAGCGAACCAGCCATAAAGTTATACTGGGCGGAACAAGCGTTCATAACTGTAAAGGACGGACTACTGTTAAAGGGGGACAGACTCGTCATCCCCGCAACAATGAGAAATGATGTGCTCGCCAGACTACATGAAGGTCACCAAGGAGTGGTGAAGTGTAGGGAGCGTGCCCGACAGTCTGTATGGTGGCCAGGGCTAAGTCAGCAGCTGAATGAGTTGGTTCTCAACTGCCGGACATGCAGCAAGGAGAGACAGAACCCCAAAGAGCCGCTGATGCCAACACAATACCCAGGCCGACCATGGCAGAAACTGGGTGCCGACTTGTTTATGCTGGGAAGCAAGTCATATCTTCTGGTAGTGGATTATGCATCAAGATATGTGGAAATGGCTTTGCTGACACCCACAAGATCAACAGATGTAATCCACCATCTCAAATCCATCTTTGCACGACATGGTGTCCCTGAGACGCTGCTCACAGACAACGGGCCGCATTTCTCGGGAAGGGCATTTGAAGAGTTTGCAGAGTCGTATGGATTTAAATACATCACCAGCAGCCCGAAATATCCACAGAGCAACGGTGAGGCAGAACGGGCTGTGAAGACTGTAAAGAGTCTCCTTAAGAAAGCAGCAGACCCATATCTGGCTCTGCTGGCTTACAGAACCACCCCACTACAAAACGGGTATAGCCCTGCGCAACTTCTCATGGGGAGGAGGCTTCGCATGACGGTGCCAACATTACCAGCGCTGCTGGATCCGGCTCTTCCCGACAGCGAGGCTGTAGTTCTGCGAGAAAGAGAGAGGAGAATAAAGGATGCACAGCGGTACAACCTGCGTCATCGAGTGAGAAGTCTCGAGAGGCTTGCACCGGGAAAAGAGGTTTGGGTCACGGATCAGAAGGTGAGTGGAACGGTTATGGGAAGTCACAACACGCCGCGATCCTACATTCTTGAGGGACCTCATGGGACAGTCCGGCGTAATCGCCATCATCTCATCCCCATGTACTCCTCGTCAGAGCAGAGCGGCAGGGATGCAGCTGAGCAGCATTCAGGAGGTGGTCCAGAGCCGCATATTGCAGAACCTCCGGAGCCCAGTGCTCAAGATCTGCCACCTACCCCGAGAACCA